TTCCACTGGGTTTAACAGAGGACCCAGTGCAATCACATCCTAAGGCTCTAATCAATCGCATGTTTCCACTCTGCATTTTGCAGCCCTATGGATGGAAAACACCCCGCGGCTTCCCCTGTGGTTGGAGACTACAGCTTGTTCAAGGAGGGGTCAAACCCGGCTGAGCTGCAGCTTTCCTGCATGAAGCAGAGCATAACACGGTGCTTTGTAGTTGAAATCCAGCTGCTCACTGGCTCCATAGGCATTCTGAAGAGCTCACAGCTCAACTGAACTGACACACACCCCCCTTGGCTCCAATATGCCCCACAGCTATCATGGAATCATAGAATCCCAGCCTGGTTTGGGCTGGAAGGGACCTCAAAGTGCTTCTGCCTTATCTCCAACCTGAACTTCCCCTGTTTCAGTCTGAACCCATCACCCCTTGTCCTGTCACTGCAGTCCCTGATGAAGAGTCCCTCTCCAGCATCCCTGTAGCCCCCTTCAGACACTGGAAGCTGCTCTGAGGTCTCCACGCAGCTTCTCTTCTCCAGGCTGAACAGCCCCAGTGTTCTCAGCCTGCCTCCATACAGGAGCTGCTCCAGCCCCTGAGCATCCTCCAAATCCCATTTAATGTTGCCAGATCCCATCCAAACTAAACCAAAAGCTGCTCTGCTTTACGGCCAGTAACAGGACCATCACCTCCCTCTAGGACCAACTCACGTGGCTGGCTCCTGCACTGATGGTTTCTCTTCCAAAACATGAACCTGTACAGTTTGTGGTAATGGGACCAAGAACTTTTCCATAGGCTGAAGAGGAAAAAGGAGCTGTGAGGATGAGGGGAGCCCTGCAAGTGTCTCCAGCACCTTTATCCCTACCACCTCCAAAGCATCGTACTTGAGAAGAGCAAACACCTTCCGTACCAGCTCACCGCTGTGCTCCCATTAGCGAGCATCTCCTGCTGCATCCCTGCAGTCGCTGTTTGGGGATCGGTTTTACTGGTGCAGAGGTGCCTTCCCCAGCAGGCTCCTCGGCAATGAGCATCTCACCCACATCCTCACCCCTGCATCCTCTCCTCACACTGGCTCAAGCAGCACACCTGGTACCATGAGCAAGCTCAGGCCACCACTATTGCCTCTTTCCCTCCCAGCAGCGATGTGTTCTGCTGCTGGTCCATCTGGTGCAGGAGTTATCGACCAGGCCTCCAAACCACATGGATGGATGAGAGCCATCACAAAGGGACTGAGCCGCCCCGAGGACAGGACAAATGGCACTCTGGGCAGAGGCATGGACTGAGGTAAAGCTCAGATCAATGACCAGTGTAAAACCACTGGTGGCTGGTCTGCAGTGACCCTTTGAGCCCGCTTCAGAAGCAGATGTGTAAGCAGGACCTCACTCTTTATCACCAGGAACAGCTTTGGCAGGTGGAATTGCTCCCCAAGATCCCAGGCCCAAGCACAGCTTGTGATCTGTTTGGCTGCTTTGGTTCATGAGAGCTCCCCCCCTCACCCCGAGTGACCTCCTGCATTTACCTGCATCTTTGCTCCATCCCTTCCCGATCCCTCAGATTCCCAAAGCAAGATCAGGACAGATCCCATCCACTTGTACCTCACCATCCGCAGGGCAGGCCCCTCTGTACCACAGAGCTTGCACCAGCCTCTGGCCTCAACTGCCCTTTTCCCATCATTTCCCATCCCATTTTATCATCCCAAGCCTCCCCAAACCTCCCTCTCACCACCCTCTGTTCTTGCATTGAACAATCCCAGTACTCCAGGCTGCGCCCTTCCACAAGACCCCTCTTCAGCCCCATCTGCAGCATCATCGTGTCCCTCCTAAAGACAACCAGCAAAACCAAGCAGAGGAATAGGACCCAAAGACCTGGAGCCAGCCCCACACCCTACAGGGCTCAGGAGGCATCTCTGGGTTGGTTTGCACCAACTGGGATGGAAAGCAGAGGCCCAGGGAATAGACCCTGCAGCAGGGGGGCATTGGAGACCCAGAGCAGGCAAAGCATTGCAGCTAAAGCACAAGCACATCCATCACCCTGTGCTAGAGACAGGCAGGGTTTCATTAGGTGAAGAGGCAGAGCAGAAAGGCAACAAAATGATCTCCAAGCATCCCAAAACACATAGGGGCTGGCATCCCTCACTGCAGAGGGAAGGCAGAGCTGCATCCCTGCCTAGGTTACTGCGTTATCAATGACCATGGCACTTAATGCCATCAGTAAGGTAATAACAAGCCTTAAAGAGCAAAGCCTGGCAGTGATATCCCAAAGCAGACTTCCCTCCAGGAAGCTGCACGCAAGCATCCTATGGCACCAAAAGCATCACAGGGAGGCTGGTGAGAACTCACCGCAGTTAGCAACCCGGCATGGACACGGATCTGTGTTTCCATCGCAGTGCTCGGCAGCCACAGGAATCCCGAGGAAAAGCCAAAGGAGCAAAGGAAGCAAACCCAAAGCTGGGGGATTTTTGTCATCCGCCTGCCACCTCGTGGGGAAGATGGGAGCAGACCCAGCAACGAAGCCCTGCAGCAGCGAGCGATGCTCATCGAAACCCTCCCACAGCAGCATCTTGAACGCTCAACGATGGCTTTATGTGCCCAGATTGCCACGCAGGTGACTTTGAGAATCACCCCACCAAATGTGCTCCATGAACCCCAACATCCCAGAACTGCAATCAGTTTCCCCAAACTCCTCTATTTGTTGCCCTTAAATAAAGCACGTAACAGGGGAACTGTTCAAGCTGAGCCACCAGCCCCAGTTTTACCTTAGGAGCTGGTGGTAACTATCAGCAGTACTCAAAGCACAATAGAGAGTAGGAAAACTGAAGGAAATCAAGGACTACACCCACCAATCCATTTGTCCTTACTGGAAGCGATCCCAGGGCTAGAGGGGAAAGCGAATTATGTGTGAGTAAATGTAAGGGATTTGTTTTAAACAGAATCACTGCACCCATGGCAAGCTCGGAGTCACCATCACAAACACCTCCTTCACAGTTGTTATAAAAGCATGGACTTTGTCTACACAAAAGCCAATGGCAAATTCATTGACATCCATGGGAACACAGCTCAACCCTCTGCTACCGAAGGAGCCCCTCTCAAACAGTTCAGAGCTGGAAAACAAAGGACACCATCAATTTTGTTCTTCAAACAGCCTCTGGAAGACGGTCGGTGCAACGGCAGGGCCACGCGGAGTGAGAAACTGCCCAAGTCACTGAATAAAGGCAGTAAAACCAGACAAGAACCTCCAAGTGAATCACAAACCATCATAGAACAATGATGCTGGAAGGGAGCTTAGAGCTCATCCAGTTCCATGGGCAGGGACCCCTTCCCCTGGAGCAGCTTGCTCCAAGCCCCTGTGTCCAACCTGGCCTTGAGCACTGCCACCAGGGATGGGGCAGCCACAGCTTCTCTGGGCACCCTGTGCCAGCGCCTCAGCACCCTCACAGGGAAGAGCTTCTGCCTAAGAGCTCAGCTCAGTCTCCCCTCGGGCAGGTTCAAGCCATTCCCCTTGGCCTGTCCCTACAGGCCCTTGTCCCAAGCCCCTCTCCAGCTTTCCTGCAGCCCCTTTAGGCACTGGAGCTGCTCTAAGGTCTCCCCTTCAGGAGCCTTCTCTTCTCCAGGCTGCCCCAGCCCAGCTCTCTCAGCCTGGCTCCAGCCCTCGCAGCATCTCCATGGTCCAGCAATCATAGTAAGAGCCCAGAACATCCAGCGCTCGTCGCACATCTCCCACCCCTTGTCCCAACGCTCCTCCAAGGGCATGCTCAGTTTACACAGGTTTTTATGTTCTCATCTTTGCTGACTCAATCCATTTGAAGACCACAGAAAGCCCTGCACCAGGACTCAACATTCACATTGGTTATGGACTGGAAGATGAAGACAGCTTGCCAGGCTCATGCCTGCAGATAATACATGCACAGGATGCTCCATCATCTCACACAAACGCACATGCAGGACGCTCCATCACCTTCTCCTTCCCTATCTGCACATCTCCAACAGGCACTTCCACATCCATGAACTTCAGTTCTCTCCACCTTCTGCAAGCATCCCTCCACACTGTTAGTTCCATGTCCTGGCTGGGCCCCAGCAGTCCTGACCCACCTGGACTGTTTCTCCCACCACTGAACACATCCTTCCCAATGTCCTTTAGCATCCAGCGCTCCCTCCTGATCCGCTGCTCCCATCCTCACTCTTTCCTTGCTCTTCTGCACTTATTCTGCTCTTTCTATGAGCACACCCAATTTCCAGGGGATCAATGTCATTACCTGGTTTTAAACAGAGCACTGGAGAGTGCTTCCAGTGTGAAAGCAGCATTCCTGCACACTTCTGCCTTTCCTTACAGGCTTCCAGTGAATTTATCTCAAGGAAAGCCTGTAAACAGGCACACAATGGACAGCCACAGAGCTGCAGTTTGAAGGTTTCTACCCCACTGCTTCTTGCAAACGTGGGGGATATGTGCTTCATGTTGGTAATCGTAGGGAAGCATTATTTAGAGACAACCAGGAATGTTATGGATCCCACCCCATCCGAACAGCCAGGAAGCAGTTCTCCTCCCAAGCTGATCATCACCTCCCCACCAACTCCTTTCCCCCAACCTCTTGTCCCATGCCACGCTCAGAGACCACTGTCCGTGCTCCGTGCCACAGCTCCTTGCCTTTACCCCCACCAGCGACCTACAAACACCCACACTGGAAGGAAAACCCTTGTGGAGCAGCTGCTTCAGGGACACTGCTGCAGTACCCAGGCTGTGAACGGTGTCTGTGCACAGCTCTTGAAGCACAGGTCCACTGGATTGCCCCTGGAGCAAGAGATGCTCTCCCAAGTTGGTACCACCTCATTCTCCATCTTCCAGCACCCTTGTTTCACCATCCACTGTCCATACCAGGTCATTGCCGGCTCTGTCACTCCACTCATCACAAAACCAGCCCGTTTCCTGCCAAGCCCCGCTCCTTCCATCCAACAATCCAAAAAGAAACGTTGAGGAGGCAGATTCAGGACAATGTTTTATATACAGACAGTAGATAACATTTCTCCACCTCCCAGTTCTCCCAGTCCACAGAACAGGAAGAAAGCAACACATCCTTCCCTTCTTGAACCACCACCAGAAGGACTACCATCCTCTGGCACGGCTTCCCTTCAAACCACGCATCAATAACCATTACCACAGTGCAGAGAAGTGATGCTGTTCTGGACGGCAGCTTTTCACATCGGGTTCCACTGAGCATTCACCTGGGAGAGAGAACATCTCCCGTTTCATTCAGAGCCGGTCCTCAGACCTTCTTCTCTATAAAGAGGGTGTGCTGGCCCAGTAGATAGTTCACTATCTTCTCCTCTATTTCCATGCCTTGGGCTATTTCCTCCTCGGAAAGAGATAACGGAGTCTGTGAGTCTTTGGTGACGATAACCACGGCGGTTCTCCGGGTCTCCAGGATATTGGCCACCACCACCTGGTGATGGTATTTCTCCAGAGCCTGCCGGGATTTATCGATTAAGATCAAGGGATCCGTCTCCAGTTTAAAGGAGATAACAAACGCCTCCGGGGCCCATTCTTTGACGAGAGGAGACAGCATTTTTGGCACCATCTTCAGTGTAATCTGCATTGGAGAAAGAGAGCGGAGGAAAGGTTCAGTAAAAACATTGCGATGTGTTTTAGTAAGAGGTGGGGGGAATTGGGTAATTCTCTCTTCGCTTCATGTTATATTTCCACTGGGAAGCTTTCCAAGACGGTAGTTGGCCAGATCTCCCCAGACAAGGTTAAAATGTCACCAGTGCGCACCATAAAGTCAAACCATCAGCCTGGTATTAATAACCAGGGTGTTCTGAAGCGTTCTTCTGCCTAAGAGCTCAGCTCAGTCTCCCCTCAGGCAGGTTCAAGCCATTCCCCTTGGCCTGTCCCTACAGGCCCTTGTCCCAAGCCCCTCTCCAGCTTTCCTGCAGCCCCTTTAGGCACTGGAGCTGCTCTAAGGTCTCCCCTTCAGGAGCCTTCTCTTCTCCAGGCTGTCACTGGTGCCCTGGACAGCGGGCACAGGGTGGGGATGCTGGGGAGGCCTCACCTGAAGGGGTCCCTCCGAGGACTGGATCTTGTGCTGGGGCAGCTCCGAGGTGGGGATGTAGAAATCCGACACAGCGGCTGCCAGGTAGAACATGACACTGGAGCCTGCGGGAAAGAGGGCTGCGCTCACCCACTGCTGCTGCCCTGGGATGGAGCAGAGCCAGCGAGCTGCCATCCCCTCCACACACTCCCATCACCATTGCCTCCAGGGGCAACCCAGTGGACCTGTGCTTCAAGAGCTGTGCACAGACACGGTTCACAGCCCGGGTACTGCAGCAGTGCCCCCGAAGCAGCTGCTCCACAAAGGTTTTCCTTCCAGTGTGGGTGTTTGTAGGTGGCTGGTGGGGGATAAAGGCAGGGCAGCGCTGACACCCACAATGGGATCCCCACTGGCACCCACCGGGGCTGCCTCATCCCTCACACTGCGCCCCAACAGCCCCCCAGGACTCTGACCATGGTGCAGGGCTTCCCCATCCCCTCCCGCTCCCCCTTCCACGCTCATCCCGCTCCCATCCCCGTACCGAGCGGCGCCAGGGCGCGAGCCGCAGCCCGCAGCAGCTCCAGGTACTCCTGGAGCTCGGTGAACTCGATGGGCAGCAGCAGGCCCTGCTCCTTGGCGCGGTGATAACCCCGCAACGCCGGCAGCAGCGAGGCCGGATCAGCGGCCACGGCCGAGCCGGCGCCGGGAGTGAGGCGGAAGGCATCGAGCAGCGCGGCGCCGTGCTGGGGCAGGCTGCGGGCCCAGGGGAAGGCGGAGCGGGCGCGGTGCAGGAAGCAAACCGCGTACCCGGCCTCCAGCAGCCGCTCTGCGGAGCCGGCCCCGCGCCTCCCGCTGCTGAAGTTCTCCAGGAACCGCACCGCCCGCGCCTCCAGCGCCACGCGCGTCCCGCCCGACGTCACCAGCGCCACGCGCCTCCCGCACGCCGCGTGCCCCGCGGCCCAAACCCGCACCCGCTCCTCGGCCGCGCTCCCGCACCCCGGCGGCGGCAGCGACACCGCCTCCGCCATAGCGCGCCGCGCCGCCCCGCCTGACTTCCGCCGGAAGTAGCCGCTCCCGGAAGTGTTGCCGTGGTAACGCGGGTGGCGGCGCGCTGGAGGGGGCCCGGCGGTGCGAGGTGTGCGGGGCCGCGGCGCGGGTTCGCTGCGGGCGCTGCCGCCTCACGCACTATTGGTGAGGGAGGAACGGGGGGGGGACCGCGATCGGGACCGGGCACGGGAGGCAGGAACAGGCCCCAGGACATCGGGGTGGCCAAAGGGTGAGGGCAGGGACAACGTCTGGGTGCGGCCTGGATCATAGGGACAGGGCAGGAGGCAGGGAGCAGGCCCAGGGCAAGGGGTGGGAGACAGGGACAACACCTGGGGTATGGTCAGGGAACACGGGGACACGGGAAGAGGCTTAGGTCACGGGGTAAAGCGTAAGACACAGGGAGGAAGCCCGGGTGGCAGGGATGAGGGACAAGACCCAGGATGGAGCCAGGGAGCAGGCCCAGGATGAAGCTGGGCTGAAAGGCAGAGATTTGTGCAAACCCAACTGTATGGGGAGCTGTGTGAGTGGTTTAAATGAGGTTTTAACATCGACAGTCACAGTGAGCTGGCAGGAGAGCACCGTGCTCCTGTGTCATGGAATCCCAGCCAGGTTTGGGTTAAAGGGACCTTAAAGCTCATCCAGCTCCAATCCCAACACCTTCCACTGGAGCAGCTTGCTCCAAGCCCCTGTGTCCAACCTGGCCTTGAGCACTGCCAGGGATGGGGCAGCCACAGCTTCTCTGGGCACCCTGTGCCAGAGCCTCAGCACCCTCACAGGGAAGAGCTTCTGCCTAAGAGCTCAGCTCAGTCTCCCCTCGGGCAGGTTCAAGCCATTCCCCTTGGCCTGTCCCTACAGGCCCTTGTCCCAAGCCCCTCTCCAGCTTTCCTGCAGCCCCTTTAGGCACTGGAGCTGCTCTAAGGTCTCCCCTTCAGGAGCCTTCTCTTCTCCAGGCTGACCCAGCCCAGCTCTCTCAGCCTGGCTCCAGAGCAGAGCTGCTCCAGCCCTTTCCTGTGTTTGGGAATATCAAGAGTACATTAAGTGCTGTGTGAGCAAACAGCTGGTGACTTTTGTGACTACTTCTTGGGGTGAAAGTCCAGAAGACACGAAGGCAATAGCCTTTCCTGACGGCATTTCTGAGCACGCACTAATACCACTCTTCCCTTATTTTGTTAGTGATAAGGACCATCAGGAAGCTGACTGGGTCAGTATCCACAAGCAAATATGCCAGCTGCTGGTCCCAATCCGCACATCCCTCCCGTGTCCCCCTACGGAACGAGAGAGAAAGCACGGCATGGAGCAGCTGCTGAGGAGGCAGGTACGTACAAGAACCAAATCCACTTCAAAGTGCTGCCACTGGAATCACATTAGATCTCTTCTTCCTGTCCTTTGATGTACGCAGGGCTGGGAGGGCACCTGACTGCTTCATCAGTGCTCGATGCAGAGCTTTAGGGTTGGGTTTTTAAAGCAAACCTCTGCCAGGAGGGGAGTGGAGCATCCTCTGCATGATCCGAGGAGCTTCTTGCCCCTTTCCCAGTCCTTCCTCGAAGTCCTGAGCTTCCCACAGCAGCATTCCTGGATCTCTCGCTTTGCCAGGAATTAGTCCATCTCCCCCATTAGTCCGGGATTGCAGCTGAGTTTTCCTTCTTTCAGGCTGGGCTCACCCCTCACTGATGGGAGGGATTCCCCTTCCGGGGGGGGGGCAAAGAAATGAATCCCCTGCCTTTGTTTAGCTGCCCAACTTAAACACCCTCTCCCACTAAGCCTTTTATCTGTGCTTTTTGGCCTCGTGGGTGGTGCAGATGTGCAGCTCCCTTCTAGCCCCAGTGGTTTTCAAGTCTCTTTTTTGGTTTTCTTTTGAGGGGATGGCAGGGTCTGCTTTTCCACAGTGTTGATAAAATAAAATCACCCACCCAAATGCATCTGCTGCTGAAAACCCTGCCCTGAAAACTAAATCATCCTTCTAATATTGCATGACTCCTCATGGCAGGAGAGCAGGACAGCAGAACGGCTGCAAGGGAGCTGGTACCCATCCCAACATCATTGCAGTTGGGTTTTGAGAAGCCTTTCTGTTTGAAGACCCCTGAAGGCAGGGTTGTGGACCAAGGTCCAAAGAATGCCCCAGAAACACCAAGAACCTGCAAAAGCTCCTTTGTTCCGGGTTGTGTTCAAGTCTAAAGCTGAGCTTTTATAAAGGCTGCAAAGAAGGCAAAAAGTTTAAATGGGTCTCACTGGGGCAGGGGATTTGTGTCCTCAACAGCTTCAAGAAACTCCACCTGGTATCGAGCACCATGCTTCTTGCATCACTGAACACAGAGCAACTAAAACCACGCTATGTACGTTACAAAAGACCACGTGAGGCCAAATCAAGGAAGTGCTCCTTGATTAGCTGGAAGCTAATCCTTGCTTTTCCTGAGGTGCCAGGGGAAGAGGCAGTGGAGAAGGGAGCGCAGCTCTCCTTGGCTGGCACACGTGAGCAGAGAGCGACTGCCACAGCTTGAGCCGAGCCCTGGCCTGTCTTTGTGGGGAAGTCACCCAAGTGGAGGGGTTTACAGGCTCTTTAACAGCTCTACTACGTTTATTCTCTGACCTTTGTCTGCAGACCTTTGAAATATAATAGGTGCTGGGAACAGCGTGTGCTGGGACACTCTGCCTTCCTTCCTTCCTAAGGAGTGAAGAAGAGGAAACATCTTGCTCCTTACCTGCTTACCTTCACAGCAAGGCTGCAGTGGCTGGGCCACTGCTAGCCCACAAATGGGGTTTGTTTTTACACACAGCAAGGCACAGGTTTGTGCCTGGACTGCCTGAGGAGTGGTATGGAAGGGGTGAGATGATTTAATGCCCTGTCTTGCTGTGGCTTCATCACATTCCTACTCACAGAGACAACAAAAACGCTTCAGAAAAGGCCTTTGGAGCTCAGGGGAAAGCTGTGTATTCGGATGATCAGAGAGAAAACCTGCTCAGAGGAACACTCCTGCTGTAACTCCCAAACTCCTGCGTGCTGTTTGTTTAGCAAACAGGCAGCTCAAGCCTCGCTCAGGACACAGGAAGGCTTGTGCACATCAACATGCCCTGTGGCTTGAGGGAAGGTGCACGAAGCCGAGAGCCAGGTTCTGAGTTTCATACCTCATCTGTACTCCAGAGCTTTGTTGATAGAAATCTGCTTTTGTCAGTGTAGCCCCGGGGGTGCCTCCAGACAGCACCTCCACACTGACACGGCTCCAAGTTTCTGTTTGTAGAATAGCCTCACCTGCGGGAGAGCTGCGTGCTCAGCCAGCTCTGCACCCTCCAGCACCACTGCTCACCATGGCTGCAGGGCTCTCACATCACACTGAAAGCCTTCCTCTTGAAATCATCTCTTCTTCAAGCATGGCTTCGCTTTTGGTGCCTGTGAGTGAGTAACTGAACGTGGCATTGAACCACAAGCGCGTTCCCAGCCCGCTGCTCCCACCTGCAGCAGAGCTGGGGTCCTCGGCCTCCTCAAACCCCAACCAGGGGAAAACTGCGTGGGGGCATCTTCAGAGAAACCTCTGTAATTGCAGCACACATGAAAAGAGCTCAAAGCCTGCAGGTCCAGGGCGTGGGGCTACGGGCAAGATGAAAACGGTTCAGGGCCAGAGCTAACGATCCCCAGAAGGCACAGCCTTAAATATTCAGTGCCGCAGGGCTCCTGTTGTCTCCTGCCCTTTCTTCTCCCCCTGGGAGCTGTGCAAGGTTCTAACCCTCACCTTGTCCTCACTGCAGATGTTTTAAGATAGCTTTGCATCACGAGAAGCAGCGATGATGCCATTGACAAGGAGTTAAAAGGAACGATGCTCATCTCCAGCAGCTCCCCAGATGACAATCTGTTGGTACCCACACACCAGAGCCGGTGCTGGTTGCATCAGACAAAGAGTGGCATGGACAGAAAAGGCAGCCTGATAAATAACAGCTTCCACTGCTCTGTGCCCCCAGCGTGTACTGACTTTCTCCTGTATGCCACATGCTTCCCAGCACGGTTTGGGTTTGGTGTGTGGCTGTTTCACTGTCTATATGCAGTGGGGTAGAGAGAGGGTGCTGTGTGTCCTAGCTCTTCATGCTGTATCTGGGTGCTGTCACCCTGCGGTGCATTCTTCAAAGCTCCAGAAAGGATGCCCCTTTATCTCAGTCAGGATCTCCCAGGCTGTCCTTGAGGCCCTCTGTCCCTGAGCTGTTCCTTCACCCATGGCCTGATCCTCTCTGCCCTTCTTTAAGCACTTAAAGCTCAGCAAAACGCCAAAGCCTGGCCTCCAAAAGCATTGGGATTTCTTATTTCTGCCCTCTGCTCAGCCCCAGTTGGAAAACAGAAAGCAATGAAGCGGTGAGATGGTATTTTCCTTGCTGCACAGGCCTGCCCGTGCCTCTGAGCAAGAGCAGAGCGAGTGCCTCCCTGACTTACCATGGCAGCACTGCGAGGCACAGCACCAACAGGATTCTTTCCAGGCAGCTTTCCCACTGCACCACTTGTGTGCAGAGCCAACACAGAAGTGCTGGGAGTTGGCAAGGGCTATGCTGAAAGCAAAGAGAAATAACAACCATAAAACAATCATCCTGGCTCTTTCCCTGGCCTCCCTCTGCACGTTTTAGGGGCACAGCACCCACAGTTGCTGTAGAGCTCCTGGCAATGAACAGGCATTCCCATGGAGAGGAGCTTGTGGATCAGATGCTGCAAAGGGTGAAAAGACCAAATGTGGGCTGCAGGAGGCAGGGAGCAGCTGCATGTACAGGAAACGGTCTGGATTCCAGCAGCAAACAGAGAAGGAGAAGCTTTGAGCCCCAGACCCGGCTCAAAGCCCAGTGCAGTGCATTGGGGTGTTTGGATTTTGCCTGCCTTTCCACACTCCATGCCCTTAATACCAGGCCCAGAACTGGCTGGGAGAGGGTGGGAGGAAGCTGCAGCATCGTGTGAGGAGCCCTCTGCTTGCCTGCAGACCGTGTCTCCTGCTGCTGGAGCTGTGCCCATGCTGGCACCAGCTTGGCAACCTGAATGCTCTGAGTCACCGTTGTTACCGTCAGCAAAGCCCCACCGCAGCCCCTTTGATTCTTCCCTGTGTCTTGTGATGGTCATTTTCTGTGCTTCACAGGCTTTATTGCTGCAGCCTTATTAGCCCTTTTGGGTAGGTGTAAAGGATTCTTTTGTCTCTTAAGGCACCACATGAGCTAAGAGGATGTGCAAGGCTATCCCTGATAGAGGCAGGAGTGAAAGCCAGGCTCTGATTTGATGTCCATCCCTTGATTACAGACACAGACACCACAATCACTTTGGCAGTTTGCAGACTCGACTCCTTTGCTCACTGTGTCCCGATCCCATTGTTTCCCTGCAGAAACACATCATCGACGTGGCCTACAGCACAGCCCAGGAGTTTGTTTGGGGTGGGAAGCACGAGGAAGCGCGGCCGGCAGCTCTGCATGCGCTGCGCTTCAGCATCGAGGTGTACGGCTCCGATTCCCTCCAACTGGTGCCTGCTTATCTCCTCTTGGCTGAGGCCTCCGCTGGTTAAGTATTGTCTAAATAGCAACAGTGGCAAGGGCAAGACCTCCCTTGGGTCAGGTTTCTGGTTTCCTTTTAGCATTTATCAGGGAAGGAGCAGCTCTGCCTTTCAAACATTGTGCCATGTTCTCTCCCCTGCCCTGCCTCAAGGGCATTTCAGAGAGATTGGAGCAGTCACACACACCCCTTTCCAGTGTGGGTCTGGGGAAAAGGATCCCTCATGGGTGATGGGAGAGCAATGAAAGCAGAGGAAATGTTTGCCCCCTCTGCCCATTCCCACAAGAGAAGCGGTGTGAAAATCTCTCCTTTGTGGCTTCCTATGGCTCTCAAAAGCCTTAAATTCCCCAGGGTGCTTGGTTGAGCTCTTATCTCAGGGAACCAGCACACGTTTTGTGAGTCCATTGCATGAGAGGAGCACCTCGGTCCGTTCACAAAAGCACACCCTGCCTGCGGCAGAGCTTTTTGCCACGGCCTCTCTGCTCCAGACAAAAGGTGCCATTAGGACTCTGCATGTGGGGAACTGCTCCCCTCAGCTGCACGTAAGGACTGAGAAATCACCATAAATCATCCCCACTGCAGGGGCACACACAATGGATGCTCTGCCAGCAGAACGGAGCTGTCTCCAGGGTTGTCGTAAATGGTGTGGGGAGGGAAGGGGGAAAGGGTGCCATGAGTAATTCCAGTGTGATATTGCATGAGTCAGCAGCGGCTGCCCAGGGCTAACCTGTCTGGAGCACATGTTTGGAGACACTGAATGCCATACACGGCTCCTGGCTCCACTGGGAGCTCAGGACACTCAGCCTGGCTGTAAATCAGGTTTTGGACACCTGCTTGACTAAGGAGCATTCAGGAGAGATGTGTGGAATCCACAGCTTGGTCTCAATGTTGAGCTACTGCACAGGGACAGATGGGAGCGTTCATTTCTGAGTTCAAACATGCTCTTTATCTTGCTTATCTCTATGGGTTGTTCCAGGTGCTGGACATCTCCCAGAGGCATCCAAGTATCTGTCACAAGCCGAGTGGATCATCCTCAGAACTCCAGACTGCAGTGCTGCTGTTCAGTACAAACTGCATCGCAGTCTGGGGCTGTTCTGTGCTGCTAAAGGGGACTTTGAGGAGGCTTTGTACCACCTGGCAAACGATGTAAGCAAACTGAAAGGCAGAAAGGCTTCAATTGTCCTTCCTTCCCTAACACTTCAGCTCAATACGGAAACCTCGATGGGCAGATTTCATCACAGGATCACAGAGCGGGTTGGGTTAAAGAGACCTTCAAGCTGATCCAGTTTCCTGCACTGCAGTCAGAGCCAGGGCAGTGGAAGGCAGTGGGAAGGCAGTGGAAGGCAGTGGTGCATTCCAGCTATTCTGAGCTGGCGTGTGACTCTCAGCAGATCTCAGACACGCAGCCAAAGTTCAGGCAGGTCTGACGTCGAGCAGCCACTTGCTAATAGCAAAAAGCTATTAACCTGACGCCCCTTTGGGCACCAGCTTTAGGATACCTAAAAAACCCAGTGGCACAGAGGAGAGTCTCCCCAAAGGTTCACCGACGAAGCAAGGACAGGGCTGTATATATTATACTAGAGAAGATCTAATCCTCCCCAACTGAATGTCATCATTACACCCACACAAAGCTACTATCAAATTCAACAGTAGTGAGTATGCATCACTCCGCACTGGATAAATTTAGTCCACACGGGACAAAAATAGGATGTCATGGAGTTCATCTGCCTTTGGAGGATCAAATGACAGGCAAAGCATCCCCCAGGAACAGGGGGATGGCACTTCAAATGTGACAGCCCGTTCCTGTGGCTAAAGGGATTGAAAACGCTGTTGAACCAGACATTTAAACAGTTAAATGAGGAACTGGTTAAATAGCAGCTGACAGGGAACTGCTGTCTGACAGCAGAGAACTGAGGGAAATGACTGCTAAAATATAGAGTAACTTCTCTGTTGGGTAAGGGGCAGCTTGGGTTTGGAATGCCTGTCCCTCTCAGCACCGAAACAAAGCTGATTGATAGACAAATCTATAAGCAGATGCAGTAAAGACATCAGTGTCACTTCAGGGGAATACAGATGACTGGTAAAACACAACTTTGGCTAAACGTGGCCACACGGATGCCTTAGGGCTCAGCAGTTCAGGTGCAGTGTACCCATTGGTACCTAAAAGCAGGATTGCACATCCCCATTGTACAGCCTGGAGAAGAGAAGGCTCCTGAAGGGGAGACCTGAGAGCAGCTCCAGTGCCTAAAGGGGCTGCAGGAAAGCTGGAGAGGGGCTTGGGACAAGGGCCTGTAGGGACAGGCCAAGGGGAATGGCTTGAACCTGCCCGAGGGGAGACTGAGCTGAGCTCTTAGGCAGAAGCTCTTCCCTGTGAGGGTGCTGAGGCGCTGGCACAGGGTGCCCAGAGAAGCTGGAACTGGATGAGCTTTAAGCTCCCTTCAACCCAAACCAGCCTGGGGTTCATTGGTGCTATGAAATCTGCTCTGTGCGTCCTTGGGGTCCCACTGCAGTGAGATTCCTCTGCCCCAGCTTGCAGGGGGTCTGGGAGCATCATATTCCTTTGCATCAAACCCAAACCGCAGCACGTTCTACAGGCACTATCAGGTGTAACTCACACTATAGTTCCACAGGAAGAAAATAAAGTGATTGCTTGCAATATTATTAACCCATCATGAAAAGTGTCCACAGTTTGAGATGAACATGAAACCTCTGAGTTTGGCTTCATTTTACATACTGATTGCAGGTTTACCTCGCTAGTTCTGCCTTTGGACTGAAGTCTATCGAGGCCTCTGGAGGCTATTTCCACATGGCTGATATTTTCTTCCGCCAGAACAAAATGGACATAGCAAACTCACTCTACGCTGAGGTTGGTAACACCACAGTCATCCTTTAGCTCCTTCTCCTGTGTCCCTGTGCTGTTCCTAATGTTCTTCCTGTTTTTGATTGCCCTTAGTATGATGGCAGCGGTATCAAGTGCCAGTGTGGCCTTTTAGGATTGATCTTAGAAACCCTTTTCATACTTAAATATGTTAAGTGTTAAGCCCAGCAGACACTAATCCTGTCCTGGGTTACACATTGTTGTTCAAATTGTCTTCCATTTGGACAATTAAACCTTGTTCCAAACCAGTTTTGCTGCCACCTACCCTGTGCCAGTGGTTAAAGAGGCACCCACAAGGAGAGAGGGTCACTGAGGAGTTGCCATAGGCAGGGAAAAGCAGCAGGTAAAAACGAGCCACCTAAAACTGATGCTAAAAGTCACCTGGGTAAAAGATTGTTGGAGCAGGGGGATCAAGCAAGGGAAGGAATAATTCTCTCATCGCTCTAATAATTGAGGGGAAAAAAGAGCTTTCCTTTGCCTATCCTGGTTTCCTGTGGATACAGGGCTTTGGCAGCATCAGCCTCATTTCCCTTTAAGCCCACCAACCCAACTTGGTTAACTGCTTAGTCACATTACTTGAAGTTTGATGAAACTTCACACTCAGGTGGAGAACTGAGCTCCCAGCCCAGGCTGCCACTGGGATCATAGAATGGTTTGGGTTGGAAAGGACCTTAAGGTCATCCAGTTCCAACACCCCTGCCATGGGCAAGGACACCTCACACTAAACCATGGCACCCAAGGCTCTGTCCAACCTGGCCTTGAACACTGCCAGGGATGGGGCATTCACAGCCTCCCTGGGCAACCCATTCCAGTGCCTCACCACCCTTACAGGAAAGAACTTCCTTATCTCCAATCTAAACTTCCCCTGTTTCAGTTTGAACCCATTACCCCTTGTCCTGTCACTGCAGTCCCTAATGAAGAGTCCATCCCCAGCATCCCTATATGCCCCCTTCAGATACTGGAAGGCTGCTATGAGTTCTTCTCCAGGCTGAACAGCCCCAACTTTCTCAGCCTATCTTCATATAGGAGGTGCTCCAGTCCCTGAGCATCCTCGTGGCCTCCTCTGGACTTGTTCCAACAGTTCCATGTCCTTTCTATGTTGAGGACACCAGAACTGCACACAGTGCTCCAAGTGAGGTCTCATGAGAGCAAAGGGGCAGGATCACCTCCTTGGACCTGCTGCTCACGCTCCTCTTGATGCAGCCCAGGATACGGTTGGTTTCTGGGCTGTGAGCGCACACAAAAGATGGGATAGGAGCAGTGAGATCCCAGTGTGAGGCAGTGCAGGCAGGCCGAGCACTGCAGCACACGGTGTTTATAGAACCAGCAGCTGCTAAACGCTGCGTGTTCACAAAGTGCAATAACTCCCTTGTTTCCGGGTAGGTGACCAGTGCCTGGCATTCCTTTCTCCTGAAGTCACTCCGAGCCCAGCAGCAGGTTCTCAAGTCACGACCAGAAACATCCCTGTTCACCGAGGACAGGGAAGTCAGTGAGGAGCCCATGGGTAAGCACCTCCATGGCACAGAGCTGTTTGGGGATGGGGTTTGAGAGAACCCATACATCCTCCAGGTCATGGTTTGTGTGGCGTTTACACAGAGCCAGCTGCAAGGCAGTCACGGGTCTGCCTGATGTTGGTGCTTAGGGATGGATGGAGCAAATGAGGCCACTTGAGGGATGAGGGTGTTCAGGTGGAAACACAGCTTTGCCCTTTCTGGTTGCACTGGGCCCTTGGCATTGACTTCAATAAGACAGGATTTTGCCTTTCAGGCATTCGGTTCCACTTCAACATTCTCATTTCTCTGCAGCTCCTTTGTCTCTGTTTCATTCTGTGCAAGTGACATTTCAGCTCACTGAGGCAGGTTTGCAACCCTATCTTCCAAAGCAACAGAACACTGTGGAATAGCGTGTGCTGATAATCTGATGTGTTCCTCTAGAGAACACTCCTGGGAGAGAAGCTGGGGAATCTCTCACTAGGACAGAAAGATGCAAGTGAAGGTCCTGCACTGGGGTTGGGGCAGTTCCAAGCACAAACCAGGCTGGGATTCTATGATAAAAAGCGTTAGGAAATGTGCTCATATGGATGGTACAACCCTGTGCTCCCCCGAAGCAGACTCTGGTCCTTGTCCTCTCTCTACCATCTCTGCCAATAGGGATATGGTCAAAGAAGAGAGGGGTTTCTGTAAACCCCATTACAGGCACTGTCTCCATCAGCAGTCACTGCAATCGGAGCCACCCTAGGACAAGGCTTCCCGATAGCATCTTGGTTCTGACAGGGGTATGAAAGTTGCTCTTTTCATGCAGCTGTTTTGACTCCACATCCTTAACTAAAGGCTAATCAACACAATTACTGACTGGATGAAAAGATACCTGCTAATGGGTGTGCAATTTGCATGGAGCTGGGGATGCCACATCGATGCTTGCAGGAGAAATGCTTTGATGTCTAGAAGAGATAATTGGCCAGTTTTGAATGTATCATCTTGCACACAGACATACATCCAACAGGACTCTTTCATTCCCAATGCAGCTGAAGCCCAGCAAGTGGAAGGAATCCGAGTGCTGAATGCCATATTAGACATCAGAGAACAGGCACCAACACAACAACCTGGGGAAACTGCCAGAGTCCTGCACGCTCTTGCCATGCTTCACTACCTGCTCATGGATATACCAAAGGTAGGATTTGCCCAGGGAAATGGTGCAGGGGAGCTGCTTAACTCTGTTCCCATGCTCACCTCATGTCATGGAGCCAGTTGCTCTGTTCCCCTGGCACCATGACAGCCTCGCAGTGCTGGGTGACCAAGGACGGAGGTGTCTCAGTGACCCTGCATGAAGCTGCTCATGGTCTGCCCTCTATCAAGGCTAACAAATCCCTCTGGATCTGTGTTGGTCTCTGTCAGGCCACAGTGGATCCATAGCAACATAGAATGATTTGGGTTGAAGGGACCTTAAAGCTTATCCAGCTCCAACCCCAACACCTTCCACTGGAGCAGCTTGCTCCAAGCCCCTGTGTCCAACCTGGCCTTGAGCACTGCCAGGGATGGGGCAGCCACAGCTTCTCTGGGCACCCTGTGCCAGCGCCTCAGCACCCTCACAGGGAAGAGCTTCTGCCTAAGAGCTCAGCTCAGTCTCCCCTCGGGCAGGTTCAAGCCATTCCCCTTGGCCTGTCCCTACAGGCCCTTGTCCCAAGCCCCTCTCCAGCTTTCCTGCAGCCCCTTTAGGCACTGGAGCTGCTCTCAGGTCTCCCCTTCAGGAGCCTTCTCTTCTCCAGGCTGCCCCAGCCCAGCTCTCTCAGCCTGGCTCCAGAGCAGAGCTGCTCCAGCCCTCGCAGCATCTCCATGGCCTCCTCTGGCCTCGCTCCAGCAGCTCCAGGTCCCTCTTGTGCTGCTGCCCCAGAGCTGGATCAGGGCTGCAGGGGGGGTCTCAGAGCGCAGCAGAGGGGCAGGATCCTGCAGTTCTCTGTATTTTCCGTGTTCCTCCTTTCCCTGGGATGCCCTGGCTGGTCACAAGCTGCATTTAGGCATCAGGGCACAGGTTCTGCAGGGAGCAAGGCACGGGCCTCACGTGTGTCCTCCTTGAGCCAGCCCCCTGCCATGGCCGTGTCCCTCAGTTGGACCCTGTGATTCAGCTTTGCTTTTGCATCCCTGGATATTTATGCCTAAAAATTCCAGAGGTGATGCCTTCGCTTTGGAATGCTCCATTCTCAAACACTGGTTTCGAGGAAGTGCTGAGCAGGATCCAACTGGAAATGAGGCCTCTTTGCTCGGGCCATTGCTCCAAACCCCAGGCTGCTGCTGCCTGTATCCTGGAGGCTCAGCTCCAGGTTACTGATGGTCTCCTCACTGTATTGGAGGAAGTTGGAAGCCATCAAGAAGCAAATTGAAATTAGGAGAAAAAGGGAAAGCTCTGTAATAGTGAGAGTGCCTAATCCCTGGAAGAGCCAGCACGGGAAATGAGGGATTTACTGCAGACTGAGTCAATACAGCTGTGTTCTCCCAGAGACAGCTTTGGGAGCTGCTGCATTCAATGGGAGGTGATGATCCCCAGCACGGGGAGGGGGTGTCAGTAATCTCTCCTGTCTGCACCACTGGATCCCCACCGTGATCAGTGCTGGCAGCTTTACTCTCTCCTGCAAAGCAGCTTGTTCAGGTCACCCTCAGAAGCTGGAGCTGCTTTTCAAGCCAGTTTCCTGACAATTCCTTTGCCTTTCCCGTTTCATCCCAGGCTCAGGAGCTGGGGCTGAAAGCCTTGGAGCTGGCCAAGCAACTGCCCCTGCAGGAGTCTCTAGAGCCCCTCAGGCACTTGCTGAAGCTGATGAACGTGGAGCCTTCCTCCCCAAAGTGAAGAGCTTCCTACCAGAGCCTGTGTTTGGAAATCAACCCCATTGGGACCACCCCACCTCCATAGCCTGTTAGGGGGTAGAACAAAAGCACAACCAGCACCTGATGCATAATTCATGACCTGATGGTTTATGAATAAACCAACAGCCTCTTGCACCCACCCCATGTCCAGCTGAGGGGTCTGTGGCTGCTTTCCTCAGGTTCCTTTTGGGTCTGGTGGGGGAGATCGATGGAGGGACATGGGGAAGGTCACTGCTGCAGACCCTCCTGCTCCTCGGGACCCGGTTTGACTCCATCTCCTCCCCTCCAAACCTGCTGCTCTTTGCAGAGCTTTAGAGGAGTCTGGAAGCCAAGGGCATTTGTGCCACACATGGAAGGACCAGGAGCAGTGTGAGGGCCTGGAAGCCATCAGGGGGGGGCAAACAGACCAGGCAGCTCCAATCAGAGCTTCCCACCCGAAGGAGATGTGGGTAAATGTGCAGGCATCCCATGAACTGTGATGCCAGCCTCTAAAGGAGCTGTCCCCTTGTGTCACTGCGTGCTGCTGCCCACAGCCCCCCCATTCTGCTGCTCCCATGGGATTCTACCCTGGGAAGCGGTGAGTGACCCTCAGTAACAGGGACCCTGGTGAGTGGGGCAGGCTCCTGGAGCTGGGAGAGGCTGAGGGGAGCTCTTGCTGCTGCCAAGGGTTGAACAGGGCTCGGCTTTAAGCCCGTGATTAAGTCTCATTTACTTCAGGAGGATTTATGAGGGCATTTAATTGCCTCGGGGGAGTGGGATGGAGGCCAGGGCCTGGCTTTGTGAGCGCTTCATCAAGCTGGGACCTGAGCAATGAGAAGGGGTTGGTGCTGTTGGTGAAGGGAACACCTCCACTGCAGCCTGTGCTGGGGTACCCGTTGTGCTGGATGGGGCTCACAGCAGCCAGGCCAAGGGGGTACCCTCTGAATAACCCATGGGAGATGCTGGTGGATGCATCCATCCTCACCAGTCCTCTCTATGGCTGTAACCACCACAGCAGGGGGGCACCGTGCTGCTGGCACAGGGCCCTGGGTCATGGGGGATTTGGGTCACAGCGCCCAGGGATTTGGAGCTGTGCCGGTAATCCCAGTGCTCTGAGCCTGCGCCATGGACCAGCGGCTCCTGACAGCTTCACCCTGCAAATACAGCCTGGAAATGAACTGTGCATCGGGATGAGCATCCTGGGAATGGGAACAAGCTGGGAGCTGCTGGTGCGGGCGCTGGGAAGAGCCTGGTGCAAATCAGGAGTGGTTTTGGGGAGGTTTGAAGGATTTTAGGCATTTCCTGCACTGCACCAGCCACTTCCTGCACCTGCCCCAGGGGTGAGGAGAGGAAAAAGAGCCTGAAGTGACCAAAAGCAGCGTTTCTTGGCCTGGAATGTTCAGACTTGCAGGTCCTGGTGCCTTGGCAGGGATAGAGGAGCATGCCCACCAGTGCTGGAGCCCTGCACAGTCACAGATCCAGGGCAGGGCTGGGGGTGCTTTGCCACCGGGAATGTTATTCCCAGGGTGGAAAACCCTCACAGGGACCCAGAGGAGCGATGGGGGCTCTGTAGGAGCCGGGTACCCCCATCCCAGACAATGGCATCTACACACCAGCACAGGCGGGAGGGGAGGATGAGGAGGACACAGTGCTGGAGGGTGCCCACAATGCCCTGAGCTTCCCAACCCCAGAACAAAGGCACAGGCCAGGTCACTGCGTCCATCCTCCTTTATTGTGAGCGCTCCACGCACCTTCCTCTGGGCACTTCACTTTATACACTTGGGCTTTAAACCAAACCCCATAGGCGCCATGAGGGCTTTAGCACGGGGAACTTGTGGAGTGATTTATTCCCCCCCCCTCCCCTCCCCTTTACCTTTATTTTCTTGCACATTGAATCAATTCCAACCCAAATACATTGAAAAACCACTACTTCAAGCCCTGCCTGTGGCTCGGGGAAGGTGCTGGGAGCTCCCACAGCTGCGCTCAAGGGATGTGATGGGATCGTTCCCGTTATCTCTGTAGAGGACAGGTATTTTCCGGGGTTTTTAATATACTACAGCCTGGAACTCAGTGCAATAGGTACAACTACAGTGCAGGTACTGAACTATACAAAAGTCGTCCTACCCGTGGACAAAGCTGCTCCTCGTCGCTATAAAACTACCCCCTTTGCGTCTGTACCTTGTGGAGACGTTGTACAACGTGACTATACGCCGAGAGTATTTACAGTACGTCGCTCGTCGAATCAAACGCTATAACTTAAAAGGGCTCCTATGAACAACCACGGAACAAAAATATATATAATATAAATATCTTCCAGTCTATACACAGCGCGGGGAGGGGGCTGTAGTGTGGGGCTGCCGGGCAAATATTGCCGAGGTTAAACCAAAGCGGAGGCTCCGCACCGGGACACCCGAGCGCTGCAACCGCTGCCCCGGGTGGGAAACGGCCATCCACGACGGGGGGCTTGAAATCAGTTAGACTGCGTTAAAAAACAAGAGCTGGTGGGGGTTTGCACCCGTCCTGGCTTTAGGTTTAGTCGATTTACGTGATTTTTTTTTGTCTACGATTAGAACGTTAAAAAAGAACAAAACAACCATGAAACAGGTTCCAGCTTTAAAACCTTCCGCTAACGTGATGCTCGCCGAGGGACCCGTCGCGTCGTTCCAGAGCCCAGGGGACGTGGCCCCAGGGTGGAAAACTCCTTTGAAATCCTGGACGCGAAACCAGCTAAAACCAAAGAAACAACCCCAAAAGAAACAACAAAAAAAAAAAAAAATCGTTCCTAGCAGGAAAAAAAAAAGAAACAAAACAAAATAAAACTTGATAATAAAATGGGTCGAGTCCGTCCCCGCTGGAGCAGGGCAGGGGGAGCCGGGGCAGGGGCGCACGGCCCCGCGCCATGGTCTGTACAGAGCGTTCCCAAGCTCAGCCCCGGAACGGAGGGTTAGACCTGTGAGTCGGCGCCCAGGCTGTGGAACTCATCCGGGGTTTTGTCGCTCTGAGCCGCTCCTCCCTGCCGGAAACCGGAGGCGATCTCGTCGAAGGTCCGGCCCTTTGTCTCCGGCACCTTGAAGTAGGTGAAGATGAAGAAGAGGACTAACAGCACCATGAAGATGATGAAGACGTAGGAGCCGCAGAGTTGCTGGAAGGAGGGAAGAGGAAGGAGGGGTGAGGGTGTGGATGCCCAAGGCCTCCCCGCCATCGAACATCCCAATGGGATGAGAGCTGTAAGGACCAGCTCTCCTGCTCTCCTCGGTTCCATCCTTCATCCCCAACCCAACCATCTTGGCCCACGTAGGTGAGGTTCACACCAGCCCCATTCCCATCACAAACCCCACGAGATGATTACCGCGATGTACTGGAAGCCCATGCCCACAATGAAGTTCGAGGTCCAGTTGGACAACCCGGCCACAGCGAAGGCAGCGGGACGAGGGCCTTGGCTGAACAGTTCTGCCACGATGAACCAGGGGATGGGGCCTGGGCCGATCTCAAAGAAGGCCACGAACCCGAAGATGGCCACGATGCTGAGGTAGGACATCCAGGGCATTTGGTCCTAGTCCAAGGGAGAGAGAAAAGGTTGGTGTGGTGCAGGATGAAGCATCAGCTGTCCCAGAGGTGGGAATTGTGCAGGTTTGGTGCTGACAGGAAGCCATGAGGCTTCTCCATACTGGAGTTCTGGGACCTCCAGAGAGATGGGGACAGTCGGAGGACCAACCCTTCCTCCGGCTCTCCAACCACACGTCCCTCTTTGAGCTACCCCAGAGGAGGGCAGCACACACAACCTCCCCCCAGCCCACCCATCCCTTCAATACCCATCACTCACCAGCAGCGCCAGGGCAACGGTCATGAGCACCGCGCACCCCGCCATCCCAGCCAGGCCGATGAGGTGCAGCGTCCTGCGGCCAGCCCGCTCCACCACGAAGAGCTGTTGGATGGAGACACGTGTCCATCAGCACATCCCCAGCCTGGAGGAAAGCCTCACCTCCAACATCCACCCCAGCGAGGGCTCCGTGAGCCAAAACTCACCGAAACAACCGTGAACGCCGTATTGACCACACCAGAGCCAATGGTGGCATAGACGGGCTGCTCCACACCTGACTTCTCAAAGATGCTGGTGGAGTAGTAGAAGACCTACAAAGGGCAGTGCCATGAGGAAAGGAGCCAGGCTTTGGAGCCAGCTCAACCCAAACCCTGCGTGAAGCAGCTACCCCCCAAACTCACCGCGTTGATCCCCGAGAGCTGCTGGGACAGCTGCAGGACGATGGCGATGAGGATGGGCTGGCGATACATGGGGGAGCGGAACAGCTCCATTATGGTGACCTTCTTCTCCCTCATCATTTGCCTGCTCTCCTCCTTCATCTCCTGGAGGTCGCTGCTGACGTCTGTTGTGCCCCGAAGCTTCTTGAGGACTAAGAGGACAGAGGGAGTCAGGAGCAGCCGAGGAGCCTCCTGGGTGGTGGGACGAGCTCGGGGGTCACTCACCGCTCTTGGCTTTGTTCTCCTCGTTGCGGTTGATGAGGAGGAAGCGGGGGCTCTCGGGGGCGAAGGGCAGGATGATGCACTGCAGCAGGGCAGGCACGAAGATGAAGCCCAGGAGCAGCGGCCACAGGGAGTCATTTCCCATGATCAAGTCCAAACCGAAGACCTGAGGATGAGAGGGGCTGAGCCAATGTTTCCCTGCTCAAGCTGGACCCAACTCTTGCTCAGGGGTGTGCTGCAGGCCCAGGCACCCAGAGGGACACATCTTGCTTCCAGGTGGCTAACACACATCCCAAACGTGCTCCTGCTGAGCCCCAGGTCCATCCCTCCTCCACCCCAGCTCCATCTGAAGGGCTGTGCACAGTGCTCAGCACAGGCAACACTCTGTGCTGCTGCACAAACCCCATCCCCTGCAGTGCCTGATGAGCATCAGCACCAAAGATGGGGGAACACCCCCCAGCACCTACCTGTGCAATGAGGATGCCCAAGACGATGCCGAGCTGGTGGAAGGTCCCCAGTGCACCCCGCAGCGCAGTGGGTGAGACCTCACCCACGTACATGGGCACGAAACCCGTGGTGAGGCCGGAGTAGAGGCCGATGATGAAGCGGCCGAGGATGAGCATCTCGAAGGAGAAAGCCATCTTGGAGAAGCCCATGAGGATGGCTGACACGAAGGCAAGAATGTTGGACATCAGCATGGAGTTGCGCCTGCAGAGGGAAGGGAGGAGAGTGGTGAGGCCCATGGTGAGCTGAGAGGATGAAGGGGTGTCAGGAGAACCTAAACATCAGCTCTGGGCAGGGGGGAGATGCCCAAAGACACCCCCACCGGGATGCTTGGGTGGGATGAGGATGTACAACCCCCCTGCTGAGGTCCACCCTCGTCAGTGCTCACCGTCCAAAGCGATTGACAAAGAGCCCCACGGAGAAGGATCCGATCATGCCTCCAACGGAGAAGATGGCCACAGAGAGGGACCAGAGCGTGGTGAGGGTGGCAGGGCTGATGGGCTCATTGTATCTGTACAGCCACGTACGGTTGTAGAAGTCCTCAATCACCTGTGAAAAGGAGCAAGGAGAAACAAAGCCATGAGTCAAACCCAGCCCCGTTTCACCTGTGGCAGCACTGTTAGGAGTTGCCCAGCCACCAGAGAGCCTTTGGCTGGCGCGTGGCTCACAAGACGATGCGTCACAGGGCCGGGAGCCGCCCGGCCGGTGGCTCGGCTCCAGCCCCAAGGGAGGGAACCTGATGGGATGCGCAGGGGAAATGCAGCCGGACGGGTTCTGGTCCTGCCCTGCCGAGAGGAGAGGCATTGCCAAAACACCTCTTGTGCCTCGCCAGGCAGCCATGGGGAGGTCACGCTCCTCCCCAGGACACAGGGAGGGATGTGGCTGCATCCCAGCAGGAGGCACAGAGATGCTGGAGGAAGGGGAGGAAGACAGCAGGGACCGGCTGATCACATCCCATCCCCTCAGACAGTCCCTCCAAGCTCATTTCTAGGGGATTTTTGCCCGCAGCACTTCCATAACACACCACTTCTGCTGCAATTCTGCACCACCACCACCACCACGCTGCTGCAATGCCAGCAGCCATGACACCCCTGAATTGCCATCTTCACGGAACACCCTGCTTCATATATTTTAGGTGTTTTTTCATGTATTTTGAAAGCCAGCCCACTGCCAAAAGCTTCAAGTGAAGGGTCACCCATACCCAAACCAACAGAGCAAAGCGCTCGACAGGGAGGAGCACAGATCAAGTGTGAGCAGGAGAAGCTGCTGCTGGTCATAAAGAGGCTCCAAGGCCTCGCTGCCTCAATGGTGTCACAGGCACTGGGCTCCCAATGGAGTGTTTGCACATGGCACGGCTTTTCCATCACTTCCAGCACAAATGAGGGCCCCTGGCAGAGGCAGTGCCAGAAACACACCCCGTGCTTCACCATCAGGTCCAATAATTCACTCTTTTCCTAAGCTTTCAAAGGCCCTGGACCATCAGGATTTCAATACTTCAGTGATTCCATTTGCCTCCTGCTTCATCTGAAGGCTTTGATGCTCTGGGGGCTTCATCCTCTTTTCCTGCCATCACCAGGATAAATAACTGGGATCAGTTTGGAGAAGCCAGGCCCTTGGTGGGGGGAAGGACCCTGCACACACCCCACCAATCCTTGTGGTGCTCTGAGTTCCTCTCAGCTTTCCCAAAAACCTCCTGCTCTCTCCCCCTGAAGCAGACACAACCGAATACAAGTGACAGCGGGTGCCCCAGCGCTGGCTGAGCCTTGGCTTACCAAAACTTAACACCCAAATACCCCCATCCCAGTCCCATTTCCTCCTACAAGAAAGGATGGATGAAAAACCCACCATGAGCTGTTGGGAGAGTAGATTTAAAAGGAATTTAAAGAGAGAAGCATGAAAAAAAACCCAAACCAGTCTCATTTCCCCAAAGTTGGGGTTTTTTTTACACTCTCTCGCCCTCGTTTCACTGCAGCCGAGTGTTTCCTGCCAGCCTGGCCCAGTCATCCCCTCCCCATGTCACGTTGCAAGCACCCCACAAGCACCAGGCTGCTGTTCCAGCAGCAGGAAGGACTCTGTTAAGAGAAGCACAAACCCAGTGCTCAGCCCCAGCCTGAGGAAGGAGCCTGGCTGCGAGGCCAACAGAGCTCCTGCCCCTGCGCTGCTGGAGCCCAGGGAATGATGCATCCCAGTCCTGCACCCCTGTGTCAATCCTTCACCCCATCCTACATCCCCACCGGAGCAGGTTGCCCAAAGAAGCTGTGGCTGCCCCATCCCTGGCAGTGTTCAAGGCCAGGTTGGACACAGGGGCTTGGAGCAAGCTGCTCCAGTGGAAGGGGTCCCTGCCTGTGGCAGGGGTTGGAGCTGGAGGAGCTTTAAGGTCCCTTCCAACCCAAACCAGTCTGAGATTCCACAATTCTATAATCCCCGTCCTGCACCCCAATGCATCCATCCCACTCCCAATCCTGTGCCCCAATAAATCCTGATGCATCCCCATCCTGCATCCCAACCCAAATCTTGTACCCTAATTTATCCTGATGCATCCTCATCCTGCACCCTGATGGATTTCCCATCTTGACCCTGCATCTGATTCATCCCAATCTCAAAGCATCTCCATCTTGTCCCCAGTGCATTCCCATTTCAACTCTGATGCATCTCAGCCCTGCACCCTTATGCATCCCAATCCTGTATCCTAATGCATTCCCATCCTTCATCCCAGTTTATCCCAATGCATGCCCATCGCAACTCTGTACCCCGATGCATCCCAGTCCCAATGCATCTCCATTCTGCACCCCAATGCATCCCCACCCCAAACCTGAATCCTGATGCAGACCCAATCCCACACCCCAGTGTATCCCCCCCCAAAGGTGGGATGAACCCTTGTGCCCAGTGTCCTGCTACCCCAGACCACACTCATCCTGCCCTCCATACAGAGCACCCCAAAGCCTTCCCCCCATCAGTTCTGCCCCACAGTCACTCACTGGGTGACTCGCCCCTGAAACACTCAGCCTGGGCCTGGCCTCAGCCCTGGGGGCTCAATCCTAGGAGGGAAGCCAAGGAAGCCCCTGTTGGGGGTCTGCAGGAACCAGAGTTCAGCCCCAGTCTGGATGCAGTCCCATCCACATCATCCCGAGCAGCATCTCCTGGATCAGGTGAGGATGGAGAAAAGTCCTCCAGCCACAGGGAATCACTGTGTCCTTGGGATGAGGGATGCTGGGAGGTAATTACAGAGCCCTGCTCCCCATGGAGCCGGAGCCTGGGGAGAAACGAGGGCAGGAGCCAGGAAGCAGCTTCCTCAGCACAGCTCCAGGGATTGCCCAGCTCGCTGCCGTCTCCAATGCTGCTCCTATTGCCCGTCTCCAGAGGAGGATGCTCACTGCCAGCCGAGCACGAACGTCACCAGCACGGATTGGTCCAGGGGAAGGCGAGCAGGGATCAGGAGTTTTTAGCAGGAAGATGCTTTCAGCAGACAGGTGCATGCAGCAGATGGGAGCCGCAGCCTCCAGACACGTGGAATTCTGCTCAGACAGCTCACTGGGACTCCAATTTAATGCAATTCCTTGAATAATGTTGACATCTTTTTGCTCTTTCCATGCTGATGGGGCCCGGGAAGTTTTTGCACGGGGTCTTCTCTCCCATGAGGAGGGATTTTGGTGATGGAGGTGGAATGCTGCAGCCCACTCATTGGTAACGGGATCAGCCTTCTTGCGGTGTGAATCCTGAATCCTGCCTCAGTGGTTTCAGTTACTCGGGGCAGTGCATGGTGTGATGCTCAGGGATGGGCCCTGATTTGTCCTTCCACACCTCACCCAGCAGCCAAGCTTTACCCAAGTGCCACATGGGGTCTCTGAGCTAACGCTTCCCAGGCTTTAATACCTCCAAAAGCCACATAAATTGGGGAATGTCACGTTTTTCCAGGCTCCCACGCACCTACCGGTCACTGGAGGGTGCTGACACTATGCTGGGGAAGGAGCACATGCCTCCTGCTCTCCATATTCCTTCAAACACAGCCTGTCCCTGCTGCCCACTCTCCTCTCAGGGACATCCTGCCCCGACACTCTGGGATGCAAAGCTCCCATTGGAGCGGCCATTCCCCCTCTCCAGATGACTCAAACCCCAATCAACTCGCAGAGCTCTGCTCAGAGCCGAGGTTAAAAGTTACTCCGGTCCCACCCAGCGAGCATCCTGCACGCGTTCCTGGGATTTTTCCCAGCAAAAAACGCTAAGCAAGGAGGAAGCTAATTCTCCCGGGAAGGCGGGAGCTGGCTGAGTGCAATCCCATTACGGGCAGTAAGCTGCCTGGTGGGATGTTCTATTTTAGTCAGGCTGGCAGCAGGCACGGGTTTGTTTTGGGGCAGAGGGGATGGAGCACTCTCACCTTCTGCGGGGCGTTGATGACACCGGTGTTGTAGCCGAACTGCAGGGAACCCAGCACCGCTCCTCCCACAGCCAGCATCAGGCGGGCCGTCATCTGCAGAAGGGGGAAGAGAGCCACAATGAGGGGTTAAAGTTGGGATCCCAGCTATGTCCCTCCCTCTATCAGAGAGCACCCCAGCACTTCCCCGCAGGGAGCTGCAGGAGGAGAGTGATGCTCCTTAGGTTATAGATTCAAAGAGGATGGAAAAGAGCTTTAAGATGATCAAATCCAGCCATTCCCCAGCACTGCTAAGGCCACCACTAACCCATGGCACTGGGGGCCTTGTCTACACCGTGTGTGACCACTTGCAGGGATGGTGACTCCAGACCTGCCCTGGGCAGCCTGTTCCAATGCCTGAGCACCCTTTGGGGAAGGAATTGCTTCTCAGCTCCGGTCAAAACTTCCCCTGGTTGTTTCTTTTTGTCCTATCCCTTGCTCCTTGAGAGCAGAGACCAACCCCACCTCACTACAACCTCCTGTCAGGTAGTTCTAGAGAGCAATAAGCCCCCCCTCAGCCCTCCGTGTGATCATGAATACACAGGATAAAACTTGCTTTTATTATGGCATCCACGTGGGCTAAAGGGCAACAAAAAAAATAATCACAAAATCACCAGTTTGAGCTTAACAAAACCACAATAATACTGTTGGGGGATTCCGGGAATTTTATCTGGGCACGCAAGGTCCTCTCCGCAAGCTCCATGTGACAACAGCAGCTCGCCAGCATGGGACAGTACCGGGCACGGCACCGGTGTGGGGATGCTCTGGCCGGACACTAACGAAGCGGGTTTGCATCAGAGCCTCATTAACAGTCACTGAGCAAAACCCAGCTACTGGCAGCCCCTTCGCCCGCCTCCTCTTCCTCCTGCTTAAGCCCCGCCGACAATCAGAGCCTTGTTCAGGAGCAGGGTCAGGGCAGGCCAGTGCTTGGGCCACCTTCGTTAACAGCCCAATTATCCCAGGCGGGAGGTTTTCCCAGCACTCGGCTCCAAGAACCAGGATCCCACATTCCCGTTAATCAGCTTTGGGATGATCCACGTGAAATTTATAAGCCCCTTAATGTGGGGTCTGGGCTCTTTCTCCCCACTTATCGCAGGTACCAGTGTATGACCCAGGGATGCTCCCCCAGCATCTCGGATTAAGATTCCCAAGGGATTGGTGCTGGTCGGACCCCACCTAAAGGCAACCCCTAAATAAGAGGGACCACAGCAAAGCAAACACGAGAAAAATAAGTATTTTCTTATTTAAGAAGCATTTTCTTCCTCTTTTATTTAACTACTGACCTCACCTCTCCAGCCAAACCACCTCCCTCCGTGTTAAAGTTTGTAGGGAGAAAGCAACAGGGAATAAAGGCAGCTTCGTTAATGAAGCCCATTAATTAGGCTTGGCCCCAACACAACTAATCAGGGAGGTTTTGGCACTGGGTTCTGTTCGGTGCTTCTGAATAAACCCACCCTGAGAAGCAAACGCTCAGCTTGAGAGGGCAAAAACAGGCTGGGGAGGTGTTGGCATCCCAGAAAAAGAAGGGGGAAAAAAAGCCCCTCAGAATCCCAAATTCCAACTCTTCCATGTGCCTGTTGCTGTGGAAAACTGCAACAGGCAACACCGGGAACGCTGAAATCAACCCACGCGTGGGTAAATGTTATTTGAAAAATGAGGGGGTTTGGTATTTCGAGAATTTTGGGGGTGTTTCAGGGTGTTTCTAAGGTTTGGGGTTGCAGTTCGCCCCGTGCATCCCTCAGGGCCGTCCCACCCGCCCCAGCAGGTCGGTGAGTCACAGGCGGCACCGCGCCGCAGGGATGGGGATGCATCGCACCGGCACGAACTTTGCTCCGGCAACGCGGCAGGTAGCAACACCTCCTCTCCCCAGCGCTGCCACTGCCCCTCCAGAGCCTAATAATGAAGTTACCTTTCCAATTTCAACCTCTGCAAGAGAAGAAAACCCTAAGATTTTTAACCTCTAGAGAGAAAAAAAAACATCAGTTTTTGTGTGGTTGAAACATGTAGCAAAACCCTCATTATTGTTAACCTCTAGCATAAAAAACTTCGTGTTTTGATGACTGGATGGGGCTGGCTCGGAGGCTCTTCCCAGGCAGGGTCAGCGTGAGTCAGCTCCTCCCGCTCGCTTCTGCCTTCCCAGCTCCAAACATGCTGCCCGGCCCGATCCGGGCGCGTTTGGGCTTTAACCTCACCATTAAAGGAGAGGCTTAAGATGGCGAGGAAAGTTGGTTTTTAGGAGCAGCCTTGCATGGGCAACTCCTGCGAGGCCACGGGGGGGGGTGATTTCTGGCTCCTTTTTAACTGCTCGCAGAAAACAGCAGCTTTATTAGGAGTTTAGAGACGGATGGGGAGGGAAAAGCCCAAAGCGACATCATTCCCCTTAGTGCTTTTGTGCAATAAACTGATTTACAGCCTGGATCCAGCCAAAATGTGTTAACACACACACCCCAGGCCGGCTATACCTTATGGGAAGGTGAGCACAGCACTTGTGATTTTAATGAATTCGTTTTCTTTTTGCTGCTTCCTGCTTCCTCCAGCCCTCGAACGAGGAAGCAAGCATCAGCCCGTGGGGTGACAGCAGCACCCCTAAACCTTTTAGCTTTACAACTCATGTTTTTCTACCCAGTCTCCTCCAGCAGGGAAGGATTTCGGGACATTGCCTGCCTCACGGAACACGGAAATGAATAATCCCTTTAAAACAATTAATAGTGAGAAAGTGTCCCAGGAGGGAATTTCGGGAAGATCCACATTTAAAGAGCCATTAAAATCAGCCACGAAGCTTTACCGACCGTCCCGGGGGCTCTGTCCCGGCATGGGACAAATGTCCCTCTGTCCCAAACCGGGACGGAGACAGGGGGTGAGCACGGGGAGGGCACGCAGTCACCATGCAGCACAGCGCAAGGCGGCCCCGGGGTGAAGCGATCCAGACCCGGCCATTGCCCGGGATAACACGGCCGCACGCTGGCTCCCGGCCCAGGAAAAACTTACGCACCCACCGAAGGCCGGGTTAAAGCCACATATGGGGGGATATTTGGCATCCAAAGCGAAGGGGAACGCTGGCACCGCGGGGATCAGCTGAGATTTGGGGGGGATTATCGAACCCGCGGGGTCGGAGCTGCGTTATTTTATGTATTTATTTATCCCACCCCCCCCTCCTCCTTCCCTTCCTCCTTAAAGGTCAGCCGAGGACGGCGACTCGATCCGTTCGAGTTTTGCAACCGCAACAGCGCCTGCGACAAGCCCGGGAGATGTTGTCGCAGGCAAAGCGCTGGAGCAGCCCAAATAAAAGCAAGTCCTGCTTTAATAACACGGAACCATCGCGTTGAGGGATGGAGGGGTCAGCTCGACCCGGTACCCCCAGCATCCCACTGAAGGCTGCTCCGAGAGAAACCCCTTTTTACCCCCCCCCCTCCCCTTGGCAAAACCCGCTGGGGGTTTAATCACGGCAGCAAAACCCTTCCTTTCAATTAATTACCTTTAACACAAATGAATCCTTTCTAACCCTAATTCATCTAATGGGGCTGTTATAAGGGTGGCAGAGCGTGTGTCCCCAGCGCAGAGCCGGTGGCCGGGATCAAGCGCATCGGGTTTCTTCGTTAGGAGGAGAACAAATTTCTTGCTAATTCCCGGCCCCATGGCCGCGCTGCCAGGAGTCACGTTCCCGGCTCCCACCCCCAAGCCTCTCCCAAAAAAAGCCTGGCGTTGGGGAAGAGCCAGTCCCGGAGAAAAAGCCCTTCAGAAACACCACGTACCGGTATCAACATAGGGCAAAACGCGAGGAAAACGGGATCCCCCAACTCGCTAAAGATGGGGAAGGAAAACAAGGAAGAGGGAAGAATAAGATCCCTGTTCCTGTGGCATCTTTAATTGGGATAAAGTGATTATTTAGGGGGGGGTTAATTACGCGTTGCCACAGAGCCAATTTTGTATTTCCTTCCCTGGAAAATAACAACCAGTAAATACTTGAATGGATCCCAAAGCGCTTCCAGAAGGGAATATTTGGGGGGGGGTGGTGTTTGAGCAGAGCCGGGTTCTAACGTTAAGGACCCCACTGCAATGAACTCACCTTCCCCATTTAGGGCCTGACGTTGCATCACTTTAACCCACCTCTAACAGGGGGTGACGCTCCGGGGTTGGGGGGGGTTCAGCTGCTGCCGGCCGGTGAGTTTATGGGATTTAATAACTCATTTCACAGCTTTTTTTTGGGCTGGAAATGATGGGAATGGGGTCAGAACACTGCGAAGGGCCCGCACTGCGATGGGACACAGGCACCGCAGTGAGGCCCCTCAGTGCCCCCCCCCCAATAACAAACTCAACGCTTTGGGGTCCTCATAGCCTTTCCCTCACACACACCCCCCTCACAAATTGGGGCCAAAAACGCCTTTTTGGGTGCTCTTCCTCCAGCATTCCCTCGCCTCAAAGCTAAACCCGTTCCCGCGCACTGGAAAGGGGGGGGAATGGAAACGCTTAAAGTGGGGCTTTTTTCAGCGTTTCTGAGGTAAAATGTTCACCAAAACGCCCGTTCCGCGCACGGGCCGCCACACAGGGGCCATGGGGGGTGCGAACGGCGGCGTTGGGAGGCCCCAACCCGGCTGCCTCCCTCCCGGGACGGTGTCGGCTTCTCCTGTTGTGTAACGCGGCGGTAACGGGAGGAGGGGGGGGGGTTATGGGGGAAGCGGGTGCTGCCATGCCGGGCGCTCTCACCTTGCTGCCGGTCTCCATGGCGGCCCCGGCGCGGCGGCGGTGGCTGCGGTAGCGGCGGGACCGGGACGGGCGCGGGGGGGTCGGCGGAGCGGCGCGCGGCGGAGCGGAGCGGTGGCGCGCGGCCGCGGCGGGGGCATCAGAGCGGCTTAAGAGGGGCGGGGGGCGCGCGGCGGCGCGGGAGCGGCGGCGCCCATTGGGCGGCGGAGGGACACGGGGTGGGCGGGGCCGAGCGCGCAGGGGCGGGGCGAGGAGGGGGGCGTGCGCGGGGCGGGGAGGGGGGTGTGTGGGAAGGGAGGGGGGGAGCGCGCGTGCGGGGCTGCACGTGGGCGGTGGGGGAAGTGGCGGGGCCCGGCGCGTGAGCGTGAGTGTGTGCGCGCGTGAGGGCGCGCGGCGCGCGGGGGTGCGCGTGCACGTGGCTGTATCCGTGTGCATGTGTGTGTGTACATGTGTGTACGTGTGTGTACATGTGTGCGTGTGTGTGTGCGCATGTGTGTGTACGTGTGTGTGTGCATGTGTGTGTGCATGTGTGTGTGCATGTGTGTACATGTGTGTGCATGTGTGTGTACATGTGTGTGTGTGCATGTGTGTGTGCATGTGTGTACATGTGTGTGCATGTGTGTGTACATGTGTGTGTGCATGTGTGTGTGCATGTGTGTGTGCATGTGTGTGTGCATGTGTGTACATGTGTGTGCATGTGTGTGTACATGTGCGTGTACATGTGCATGTGCATGTGTGTGTGTGCGTGCATGTGTGTGTGCATGTGTGTGTGCATGTGTGTACGTGTGTGTGCATGTGTGTGTACATGTGCGTGTGCATGTGTGTGTGTGCGTGTGTGTGCATGTGTGTGTGCATGTGTGTGTACATGTGTGTACGTGTGTCTGTTTGCGTGTGTGTGCATGTGTGTGTGTACATGTGGGTGTACATGTGTGTGTGCATGTGTGTGTGTGTGTACAGGTGTATGTGTGCATGTACCTGTGTGTACATGTACCTGTGGGTACATGTGTGTGTACACATGTGTGTGCACGTACATGTGTGTGTGCGCATGTACATGTGTGTATATGTGTGTGTGTGCATGTACCTGTGTGTACATGTATGTGTGCATGTACCTGTGTGTACATGTGTTTTTGTGCATGTACATGTGTGTACACATGTGTGTGCTTGGACGTGTGTGTGCACGTATGAGTGTGCAAGGGTGAGTGTACGTGTGTGAGTGTGTGTGTGCCTGTACATGTGTGTGTGCAGCTATGAGTGTGCAAGGGAGTGTGTACGTGTGTGTGTACATGTACATGTGTATACACATGTGTGTGCCTGTACGTGTGTGTGCATCTATGAGTGTGCAAGGGGGTGCGTATATGTGTGTGTGTGCGTGTACATGTGTGTACACATGTGAGTGTGTGTTTGCCTGTACATGTGTGTGTGCAGCTATGAGTGTGCAAGAGTGAGTGTACATGTGCGTGTGTGTGTTCATATGTGAACACGTGTGTGTGTGCCTGTACATGTGTGTGCACCTGTGAGTGTGCAAGGGTGAGTGTACGTGTGTGTGTGTACATGGACATGTGTGTACACGTGTGAGATTGTGTGTGCCTGTACGTGTGTTTGTGCACCTATGAGTGTGCAAGGGGGTGTGTACATGTGTGTGTGCATGTACATGTGTATACACGTGCATGTGTAGAGGTGTGTGCCTGTACATGTATGTGTGCAGCTATGAGTGTGCAAGGGGCTATGTACATGTGTGTGTGTGCATGTACATGTGTGTACACATGTGAGTGTGCAAGAGCCTGTCCCTATACCTGTGTGTGCACCTATGAGTGTGCAAGGGTGTGCGTGGCTGGATATGTGGGTGCACGTGTGTGCGCGCATGTACAGGTGTGTACACGTGTGAATGTATGTGCGAGTGTGCAAGTGTTTGTACCTCCACCTGTGCGTGCACATGTGAATAAGCATGAAGCTATGCTTGCACATACGTGTGAGTGTGCAAGGCTGTGCCTCTGTGTGCTTGTGTGTGTGCACAAGCGTGCCTGTATGCATGCACATGTGTACATGCATGCACATGTGAGTGCACCTGTGTGTCTGCATGCGTGTGTGCACATCCATGTAAGCGAGTGTGTACCTGTACATGCGTGTACATGCGTGTGCCTGTAAACACGTGGCTGCAAGCCCCGTGAGCTGTGTACATGTGTGTGCACGCACATGTGTACGTGTATATGTGTGTGCATGTGTGCAACGCATCCCGTGTCCCACCAAGGGGATGCCATGGGGAGGGAACCAGGTTTGTGAAAACACAACAAATGTGGACAAAAAAAGACAAAAAATAGAAAAAAAGGGTAAAAAAACCCACAAAACACACACAAAAGGGGAAAAAAAAGGACAAAATATGCCAAAAAATTAAAAGGCAAAACGAAAATGTTTTAAGAATTCAAAAAAATTGAAATCAAAAGGAAAAATGGCGTAAGAAAGGCAAAAAGGCCAAAAAAAGGCAAAACCAGCAGAAAATCCCAATAGAGCTTAAAAATGGAAAAAAGTCCCCAAACTAAAAAAAAAAATGCTCAAAGGAAAAAAAAAGTAAAGAAAGGCAAAAAAAAAAAATCAAAAAGAAAAAGACAAAACATGATAAAAAATATCTTCTAAAAATGGTTAAAAAGGCAAAAAAATAAAAAGACAAAAAATAAAAAAATGCCAGAATAATAAAAAAAAAAAAGCTTAAAAAGGGCAAAAAAATTTCAAAAGCAGAAATTGGAAAAAAAAAAAAATCCAAAAATTCCTCCTCTCCGGTTCATTCATTTTCCCATTCATTCATTTTCCCATCCATTTCTTTTCCTAAAGCTGCAAAGTTTGGCCCCGAATTCATCCTTTGGGCGAATCCTCATCTCTGGCCTCCACCACATTCCCGGTGTCGGGATCCCAAACCCCTGCTTTAGTTGTGCCCCCCGGTTCTGCTCATCCCGGCTGGGAACCAGGGATGCTTTTTGCTGATGTGGCCTTTCCCTGGGTGTCCGGGAATGCTGATGGAGGGGAATGAGGCGGCAGCGGGATAATCCCGGCGGAGCCGATGGATGCAGGGGATTTAGGGGAGATATTGTCCGTCCCCATCCCTCAAATGGAGGGGGGGGAAGCGTTAAACCCATATCCCAGCGCTGCGGTGGTGTAGGAATAAGGGAAAACAAGGGGAAAATGGGATTTTATGTTTGGAGGGTCAAGGAGGGAGGGTTATGACCCATAGGGATGGGCTCAGGGGTTGGAATGATGGGAAGACCAAGGCCATGGCGATGGGCTCAGGAACTGGAACTGTGTCAAGGCCAGAGGCCACGGGGATGGGCTCGGCCTCTCCAAAGGGATTCCAGCTATGCTGGAAGTCAGAGACCACGGGGATGGGCTCAGGAACTGGAGTTGTGTCAGGGCCAGAGGCCACAGGGATGGGCTGAACCTCTCCTTCCTCAGCCACATTTGGGGCTCTGACTCACCGGTGTGGATCATAGACACACACACACGGAGCCAAAAATCCTAGATTATCCCTAAAAAAATATAGGGAAACCCATAGCACCTGATCTCTGATGCCGAGCATCCTTGGGATAAGATCAATCTGCTTCGATTGGGAATTTAGTGTTTGAGCTTGGAGGAGCTTTAGAATAAGTCCCTGAACCAAAAAAAAAGGGTTTTTTTTCCCCCCTCTTTTAAATCCAAGCAAAAATGCCCCAAAATGGGATTTTCCACCATCCCAATCTCTCCCCATGCCCCCAGAAATGAGAGAGTAAGAAATAAACCTACCAGAGCTTGGTATTCCTGGTGGAATTCCCTGCTGGAACCAGCTGCCAACCTCTGGCCAGGGCTGTACCCAGTGACCCTGTTACAAACCAGGTCATCCCGTGGCGGTTCCAGGATCTTGGAAGCTGCAGGTTGAGAAGGGATCAGGTCAGGAAGCGCCTAATGCTGGAAAACATCAGCCCAGGTGATGAAATCCAGGGCAAAGTCCATAAGGAAATTGGGATTTGTAATAAAATCAGATTGGGCAATGCCAGCACAACCTTCCCCAGGGATTCCAGGCCTAAAATAACCCAGGTTGGCTTTTCCATTGGGATTTCGTGTTGTTTCTAAAGGGGTTTTGGCTCCATCCCAGCAGCATCCCCGGTCCGGCTTGATGGATGCAGTGAAGCATCATTCCCATCGCCCCAACCTTGGAGACACCAAAGCTCTTTAACATAAACCAGGCTCGGATTTAACATCTGGATCCTCCTGGATTTCCCTTTTTGTCCTTAATCCAGGACTGGGTGAAGCCTTCTCCATGATAGACTGGGATTAAAGCACGTTAAACCGGTCCTTGGGTTGGAGTGAGAGTCGGACACTATATCCAAGGAATTGAGGACATTGAACCCAATACAAGCGATTGCTGTCAATTAATTGATCCCAATTAAGAAGCAATGAGTTTTCCAGGCTGGGCAGTGATTCTCTAGTCCTAAACCGTGCTGCTTTGGGTGGCTTTTCACCCTTTAACAATGGAAAAGAGTGGGAAATAAAGGGAATTTCTGCTTTAGCCATTAAAAGGGGGAAATGCTCCCTTGCTCCCGGGTCTTGCCAAGGTGGATTTTGCCTTTTAGCCCTTATTTTGCAGTTTTAGGGTTGCATGGAAACAAGGGGAGAAAAGAGGCCGGGGCTAAAAATACTCCGGTGAGTCACGGCATGGCACTGGGAATGTCGTGCCGATGGAGCCGGAGCTGAAAACCATGGGAAAAGGAGGGGGGAAAATCCATTTTCCCTTTGGCTTCATGCGTTACTGCATGAAAAAAGGGAGAAAAAGAGGGATCTATAAACACATATATATATCACACACATATATATGTCTATAATGCTGCTTTTCCCTGCACATAAAAACTCCTTGGGCTTCCCACACAGCCAAAATCACAGCAAAAAGGGGATTCCCCCCCTTTTCCCATAATATTGAGATGAAATAATTCCCATCTGTTGGAGTTTTGTCCCCTTCAGGAGCTGTTTCTGGAGCCAAAGGGGAGAGGCTGTTCGCAATCATGATGAATCAGTAATGATA